TTCAAGTCGCGATATTCTTCAAAGTCCTCCGCTGATCGATGACAACCTCTGTCGAGAGAGTCGCGGATGACCCGGTTAATTCTCCGTTGGAATCGAGGAGTCGCGATGGCTTCGATCGCACCGCTGACCGAGAGGATCTGGAACTCCATTTCGAAATCTAATCAACGCGAAACCAAGGACAAACCAATCGTACTCGCGAGAGGGGTGAGTGGTTTCAGCTTCAAAGAGTTATGAGACATAGGAGTCACGGAGTAACCGCTAAGCCGGCGGCCGTGTATCCCGCAACGCTCAGGCAATCTGATAGGATTCAAGTTCTGGGGCTGGGCTGAAAATAAAGCCGCCGCGGCCACGATTAAACCCCCCTTGGTACGTTGATTACCAAACCGGACAGCTCGGGGAGGGCAGCGGTTGGCCAGGCGTTTCTCCCGGAACGAGAAACGAAAATCGATGCCAGACCACCGTCGGCTCGCCTCTTCGGGGACTTGATTTTCCCGCTTAACTGAGGGACCGCGCGATTTAGTCGGCCAATGGTGCGTGCCATGCCAAGGGGGATATCATTCCAAGGAGATGCGACTATCCAGGGAGCCTAATCTGTCTGGAACAATTTTTTCATTCAGAACTGGAGGTGATATTTTATTTTACTGGAAAATTCGTGACGTTTGACAATGTACAGATGAGGGTATACTGAATTTATTATGGTTCGAGTTTATGTATATTTCTTGAACTTTCAGAGTAAGTTCATGGCTCTTCGACACGAATTTCTCGACGTCATTTCACGATTTTTGCATCATCTGTCAGGCGAAAGAATGCCGCCAGTTCGGAAGTCTCCGGAAGGCGTGCACGCGAATCCCCCTCGACGACGTCCATGCAAATTTCACCGACGGCCCAGTCGCCGAGCGAATCAATGGAAGCTATTACGGTGCCAGGATTATTCCAGGAAATTCGCGGAAAGTAATTAATGCCGGCTGTCAAGGGATTCAATTCGCCCGTATAAATATTGCAATCGTCGGTTAACGAACTTCCGTCACGATCGATCGGCCATGAATCGAGATATCGAACGGAGTTTCCTCGGTTTTCCGCGACGAACATCGAACACGTTTGCTTGCAAATATTCAAACGGGTCAAGAATACCGAACTATGGCTTTGAAACCGTCTCTGGACCGAAGTGGGCTCGAGAACCTTGAAACTTTCGAACGTCTCGGCTGCCTCGATAGCGTTCCAAGTCTCGAAACCCCTTGAACGATGCTCGTTATAGTTACCGCAGAATTTTCCCTCCCTGTGGTCCGATACCGTCTCTTTGTTTCGATACTCCTCACCTGGTTCGACAACGGACATTTTCCGGGATATTTTAACTCTGCACTTTGAGGATATTCTTTGGAGATGTCTGCAGAAATTTATCTATGCTCGAAATTTTATCTTTCTTCGTTTCTAGGTTTCTTCGTGCTGGATTAGTATAGATGAAACTTGAAGTGAGTTGACGTGCCTTGCACTAAACAAAATACAAAATATGGTTAGAATAATTAGTTGGTGCATCGAATATTGTTTTGAAATACTATGTATTAATGAATTGAGAAAATAAAAAAAATAGCATTCGTCTCAACATGCCAGATCTGACTCATTTAATATCATTATCTCGGGTGTGCAATCCTGACGAAGGGACATCGTGAAGTGTGTTCCGAATTTTTTAATCAGCTTTTTTTCAGAGGTAAAGAAAAGTATGTAGAAGAATATCTGAAAATAGAAGTAGAGTGAGCTCACGTGAAAAATTTTTATTCTACATATTCGATTTCCTCATTATACATTCATTATACCTCAATATACATCCTCGTTATACATTCGGTTCCCTCATTAAGCTTTGAATGTTTGTTTTCCTGACAAGAATGATTATTATTCTCCTACCTAACTAACCCTTTCCTGCTAGCCCCTAACTACTGCATATTCCTAATACCTTCCACTAATGAATCTCCTTGAAATAAGTATTATCATCTACGACAACTGAATTTACATCAAAGTTTTCCTTACAAAATTCAGCAATTTCTGCAATCGAGGTAGACGAAAATACCGCGCTGCAACAGATTCACAATGCCAAAGACTTCGGATTACAGACAGGGAGCACGGTAGCAACTTACACGGAGGTCTCAAAGGTGAGCCTACGTAGGTTAGTAGAAAGCTCGGAGTCAAAGGTCGATGGGAATAAAAAGGTTCCCCGAGAACTTCTCAAGACACTCCTGAGCTTCTCCTTTGGCGAATCAGGTTCACGGATACATCAAACGGTCCTGCGACGACACTCTGACGGTAAACTTGGCCGAGTATTTAATTGGAAATTCATTTGCAACCCGCCGAGACTCCTGTGTGAAAGGTTTTTGCGCAAAAGTTCGGGACGAGAAAAGAATCGAGCTTCCGTGTCTTGTCAAATATAGCAGGGGAGCCTGGAGATGGGGTTCCATTGAAGGGTAGCTTGTTAAGAGGGCTGGGACGGCGAAATCGTAGCGTTAATCAATCTTCGCGGCTGATAAGATGAATTACACGGGAGGACAGCCTTGGGCGTGGGCGATTAATTAAGGACCGTGTACTCGTTTGCGACGGGAACGCTGGTTGCCGCTCGTTCCTTTATCGAAAGAAGCATTTGTACCATTCGTAACTTCCTCCGAGTTCCGTTTCACGTTACCGTGTTTGAAATTTCGCATCGTATCACGTTTTCGGATCGCTGGAAAATTCGCTGAGACGTTCTCTTATTTTTACGAGTCCTCCATCTTCTCCAGTGGTCCTGTTTTTTGCTTGAAGAGAAGTTAAGGAACAATGCTCTCGGTAGCCCTTTCTGTTAGCTTCTGTTAAGTTAACGAATGGCCCTTAGCTGAACGAGACATCTCTATAATTGTCGATTCACGACGATCCGAGTTCCAGCCAGAGTAATTCGATTCCCCAGCGTCGTCTCCGACGCTTCATTCGAGAAGACGTACACGCGCGTCGCCTTGAAGCCTCTTAGCTGAGACTATCGGCGACGACACCCAACACCAGGCTGACTACCAGCAAATTAAATCCAATTTCTCCGTCGTTCGTCACTTCGTCCTCTTCGAACACGGAGCCCGGAAAAGCTTTTAATGCGTGGCTATCCAGCTGATAAACGCGCGCTACGTCACGCACGTGTACGCGGAAACCCATTATACAAAGAACTCTAGAAACTCTGGTAATATAAAGACAAACCTCAATCTTGATGACGAACGATTGGATTTATCCGCAATGCATGTGATTAATAAAAATTATATTTCAACACCAGAAAGGATGAATGCTGTTATTTATCACGCGTACCGTAAAATAGACAAAGATGTTTGATCGTAATGTAGAATATAAGAATGTTAGCGTATGTTAAATATCATTTAAAATTTTGAAAAGAATTTTAATTAGAGTTTCATTCGAATTGTTTATAAGTAGAGCTATAAAAAGAAGAATGGAATATTGAGAAGCTTACGGTGTGTTCATTTTGAAAGAATTACATATATTGGTACGATTGGGTCGTTTATAACTTTTTTATTCTCCTTCGTTCCTGTCAGTTTTGTCGCGTCTGATCGTTAATTACGAGTTCTACTTCTGCCGCTATCTTTAATTTTTTTAATACAGGTGAGACATAAAATGGGACTCTCCCTTTCGATTTCTTTTGTCGACCGGTCATTTGTCATCGTTCGTTTGGTGGAGTTCCCGGTGATGGATCATTCTCGGCATAGATTGATCGCAGAGCTGCGACCAGAGGGCTAACGAATTTCCTCTAATTAATTCTTCCCTCTTTAATCCCTCTAAATGGTCGTCTGCGTGCGCTGAATTCAGAACGATTTTCTATACCATTAATATACTTTTACTAGATATTCTTTATTATTTATTATACTGCTTTTATAATATATTTTACCTATGATAGATCCTCGAAAAAGCGCCTCGCGCAAATGGCTGTAAAATTTTCATGGCTCCAACGTTAACAAAATTTTACATCCTACATTTCGCTTGCTCTACAGTATCCCTCAATTAAATTTAATTACTGCTTCACTTCAAATATTCAAATATGTTTCATACGAACAAACTTGCCCCATTTAGAAATCCATTTATGCATAATAGTAACGCTTTTATATCGCTTTAGGTAAGTTTCAATCGAATCAAGCCCGCGTAAAGTTCGAGCCTATTCAAGCTGTGCGTCGCCGTTTGAAAAGCTCGAAAGTTGCCAAACGTTTCAACTACCTCGAGGTTCTTCAAAACCGTGCGGGAGTTACGAGACCTTTTCGAGATCTTCGATAGGTCCGCGAAAGGTCTCGCGGTTTCGGTAACGGCGGAGGTGGCGCGACGAAGTTTCCGGCTGCTCGTAAACTCGAGCCGCGTCACGGAGTCTTGTCCGCCCTGATCGCAATGTATAATGCACGCCATAGTGAGCGTCGAGTAAGAGAAATCGATTAACAGGCCAATTTCGAAATTCATTAGCCGATCAGGCCTGAATATCGCCAAGGAGTCGCTGCATGCTTACGAGCTGATTAATCGGAACTCTGTCGCGAACTCTCTGACGCCTCGACGACGCCTGCCACGAATTCGAATATCGGAGGCATCCAGCAACTCGGAATTGAATAATGAAAACATGGAAACAAAAGGGCCAGGGCGTGAACTGGGGTATTTTTGTGGTGGGAGGTGGATTTTTCCATTTGGTATCATTTCGTTATAGAATGTGCAAACGGAAAATCTAGCGCTCACGTAAGTTTATCCTGTGTAATCGCTAATAATGTTTGCTGGACTTATACTCTGTCCTCTCGGAGAAGACTTCCTAGTGCAAAAGACGTACAAGCGGCGTTATTTTGTCAATTTTCAAATGAAAACCGTAAGAAACACTAAATAAAAGTTCAATAACAGTTTCGCTAGGCTCACGCATGCTGTTCCTTTGTAGAAATATTCGTATATATCATAAACACGTCTGCATCGGTTCTCGAAATTCTTCAGTCAACTCCATTAATAAAATCGAAAATGTTTACCCGCTGGAGAATGCAACGAGGTGAACCAAGATTAAGGGTGGTTGTTTTTCAGATCTCAACCGAGGACTCCAATCAAGTCGAAGAGTCCCACGGGGCATTGCGGTTGGTACTTCGAGCAGCCTCTATTACGTCCGACCACTTCTGCCTGAAGAATGTCCTGCGGCAGTTCCTCGTGTCGCGAGCTCGTCGGTCTGAAAACAACGTTGCGAAACGTACGTTCATGCACGATACACCCTGACGATAATAAGGGGCTTTTTCGTGGCCTGATACGGCCAGGGTAACGAGGATGACGAAACGTCGGGTGCAACTCGTTAACGAACGGCCATTAAATTGCCGTCATACGATGCTTTCTTCTGGCCAATTTAATGCCGCCCGAGTGTTTGCGGGCATCGAGGGAGTTGAACGAGTGGTGTGTCACGTGACGCGACAGGGACCACTTCCACGTACCAGGGATTATTATTTACGATTCCTTTTTTTGGCCGCTCGAGACGAAATTCCGAATTGCGCGATAACAAACCCTGCAGCTGAATCCTTCTTCATCCCTATCCTGCGCTGTATCAAACTATCTAATTGCTTTTTGTAGCTTGCACGCAATTCAACCTATTATTATAATTTATCTTATGTTTTTTAATCGAAGCTTTAGAAATTAATCATTCATTTATATTTGTATATTCTTGAGGGATATATTTGATTTGATTTTCAGTTTGAGTACCGGGATTTAGGATGATTCTGTATTTGTCATTTAGTATCTTGTATTGTTTTCCTGTATCACCTAAGCTGTTCATTTTTCTCTTTCTCTAATCAACACTTATTACTCTTACATGATATAGTAATATAGATTACTGATAGATTACTCTTACATGATATATAAAACATTAAACTGTAATAACCAAGGAACTCTACCAGAAGCGATAGAAATTAGTCTCCCGCCACGTTTCTAATAAATCCTACGATCCCAATTCCCTCTAGCGTTTCACGCTCGTTCCAACCCTTCCCACCTTTTATCTCGATCGATGAAAGTATAATTAAATTGAAAGCCTCTTCATCCCAGTGCCACGAAATTTCTGTTCATTGTTTCCTCGCGTAGTATCGCGCGTGGTTTATCCAAGAATTGAATTTAAAGATCTCCAGGACGGTGGGTTTAAAACCGCGCGAAACTCAATGCCATCCCCATGTAAAAGAGGAAGCGTAATCGAGGACTCGCAAGAAAATTGGTTTGGAAATAAGCAGAATTTTCTTCTCCTCAATTCTGTTCTTTTTTATCATCGTTGTCCGGCGATTTCATCATTTCACCGAGGAATGCTTGCGTAAAAATGGAGATTCGTCTTGAATATCTTGGCTAGCCGTAAAAACTCCGGGGGTGCTTTTACGCCGTCTCTTGTCCTTCCTTATTTCGAATCGAAAAGACTCGAGGAGATAGTAGCCGTGCGTTTCTTCGCCCTTCTGGTTTATTGCGAGTTCTGCTTCCCAGAGATACGGCGGTGAAAAACAATGCAGTTTCGTTATCAGAGCGTGGCTCGAAAACACCTGACCCGTGAACACGCGAGCATCCCCTGCGCTTTCTTTCAAATTTGTTCCGCTTCCATTCGAAGCAGATAAGATTATTTAAAATTGTCTCGTCGAATAACGATAGGTATCCGCAGCTTCTTGAACCCTGGGCCTATTTCAGGAACTTTACCTTTTCTCCACTTTTCCCTTTTCGTGCCTTTCAAACTCGTGTTTCTTATTTTTTGCTATGCGAACGTTACATTTCAGCTTTCCATCAAAATTAAATAACACCTGTTCTGTCTTCTATTATTAAAATATATATAGATATTTAATGTCATATTTCGTGCATCGTCCTGTACCTAAATTTTATTTCACACACGACACCTCGAATACGAGTTCCTTTCTGTTCCCACCGCTTCGCCCACAAATATTACATTCTTTCCTATCGAAATTAAATAACACCTGTTCTATCTTCTATTATTAAAATATGTATAGATATTAATTGTCATATTTCGTGCATCGTCCTGTACCTAAATTTTATTTCACACACGACACCTCGAATACGAGTTCCTTTCTGTTCCTACCGCTTCGCCCACAAACATTACATTCTAGCTTTTCTATCGAAACCGCCCAACAAATACAATTTCCCATTCGATTGTAGCGAGGGAAATTGCGAGGATCTCGAAACGTCCCAACAAAGTCGTTCCTTTCCACGGAAACGTATTAGTGCCCCGGCAACGTATCATTTATTCGTGGTCCTTGATAAACGATACGGCGAGGGCTCATGCGAATTTAATAACGCGTCGTTCGCGGCGAGAAAGTAAAATAAGCTGTTCCCATGATTTTTTCATGCCCGAGCCGTTCCATTCCCTCAAATTACCCGTGAGACCTCGCGCACGAACGGATTCCCAAGGAGGACAATGCATCCTGCGCGCTTCTCGTCGCGATAACAACTTCAACGGCAAAACAAAAGCTCATTTGCAATTTTTATTCTCCCCGGTAACGCGTCCCGCTGTTTCTCGCTACGGTCACCCGACGTTTTCTTCGCTCCCGTAGCGAGTCACAGTTTTCCTTTCATGAATCACCCCTCCCGCGAATTCGCTTCCGTCAGGAAAAGTTTAAAGAAGTTCACTCTCCGAAGCACGGAATGATAATTTAACCCCTGGTCCCGTTTTTTCGCGACGTTTCCTGCGCCCTGTAACCGATGCACGCTCGACAAACTATTCGAAACTGGAGGCCTGATGCTTGGGACGATTAGGTTGCATTAGAATTTGCAATATAATTAAGGTTTAAATTTCAAAGGTCGTAGTTTTTTTTTATGTTAAATAAACATTCATTATTCTTCTGTTTCTAATCGTGGTAAAATTAATTCTTTTAATTTTCTTAAATCGATGCGATGCTTATAGATATTTTCTAATAATCAATTTAATCCCCACACTTCAACCCTAAATATTCATCACCTCCCCCCCCCCCCCACCACCACCTACAAAATCGATTACCATCAGCTGTGAATACAAAGAAGAAAGCAAACAGCTGAAAATAACCCCAAGAACGGTTACAAAAACCAACCCTCGGTCGGCTGGCGTAACAACGTGCGATCTGACTCATGTATTAGGCGATTTTCCGGCGCTTACACGAGAAAACTCGGTTTCACGAACGTCTCCATTCAATTCCTCCACCCTCCGTAGCGAAAGGGTGTACGTAGACCCGTGTGACCGAGCGTAACCGTTCCCTCGAAAGTGAACCACGAAACTCCGAAAACCCTGAGAAAGAACGGGCTCCGTCGTTGCTAGTCCTAATACACATTCTCCCTCCAAAGTCGGTCTATTTTCTGCCTCGTAGCCGGCAAACCGCTCGGAAATTCCCCGACGACGAGGATATAGGACGTCGTCGACGCCGAGGACGACGACAATGCGCCGTCACGGGCCGCCCGCGGGCTCTCTTTTTTTATTCATACGTCCCTGGCTCGAGAGTTTATCCACCCACGAGATCGCGCGAGCACACACGCACACACGTATACGCGCAAATACGAGCGTGGAAGCCGACTGCACGCGCACACACGCGAGAAGGACCGACAGGCCTGGCGGAGAAGCGAGAAAGCTAAACCAAATTTGCTTTTCTACACGGTCTGTGTATCTACTCCAATTTGCGCCGCCTTGGACCGGCCGAAAAAAGGCCTGGCTCTTCTTTCTTCTATTTTCCTTTTTTTTCTTTTTTTCTTTTTTTTTTACCCAGTCGAAAGGAGGTCGCGCCGACGAAATTTCCAGCCGAGTCCTTTAGCGCGTTACGCCGCCGCGCGAACAATGCCCGAGCGGAGACCACGCCGAGCTGTGGATACCTTTTTGAACCCTGTCGGTGGTAGACTTATGGCGCCCGACTGGGGTATTTTTGGCTTTCGAGAAAGGGAGGCGAGATACGGAGAATCGGAGAGAAGCTTTACTGGTGTTTTGGGGAGGGTTGGAACGCGAGAATTTTCTTGTTTTCTTTATTCTAAATATTAGCTTCCGAAACGCAGCAACTACACCTGACAAGTTACTGGAAGTAACATATTTACGAATCTTAACCTTTAACTGCTCCGAAATATTCTGATCCTTATTAGAATCAGTCCTCGCAATTTTTATCTGACGAATGAAAAAGTTTCCCTATAGCTGGGGAAGGAAGTCTGAAAATATGTGTCAGAAGCCGTCTGATAAGATATCGTAAATTTGAAATATGTTTGCAAATATTTAACGGGGTAGTATATCAACCTAAAACCTCGAGGGGTTGAGCTCGACATTTTCGAAAAGATCCCTGCGGTGGGACGACGCCAATTTCAACCTCTACCCTTATCATTGCAATTCCAATTCCACGATCTTATCCTTTTTTAATTTAAAGCGTCCGTTGACAATGTCATGGAAGTGGAAACTGCTAAATAACCTGGATAATAAATATGAACATTCGTGTCACTTCGAGTCTTGCTTCTTTTAAACAATCTCAGGCAGTAACCAATGGTTAAAGTACATCTCTAGCCCTGGCTTATCCCCACCACGCTCGAGCCACGCCCACAGGCACTTTCTTTAGGCACTCAAGCTATACATTCATGGTCGGACATGTATGTCATAAAACTGTAGGATAATCGTACAATCAGATTGAGTTTTCTAACTCGGGACTTTTGGTGCCCCTTGAATTTCCTAACTCGAAACTTCTAATAGCCCTTTACTTTTATTTTATCTATTAACTTGTTGCTTAATATAGGGTTACATAATAAACAGGTTTGATCATTATCATTATGCATAACCTATAAATATGTATAGCCTGAACAAACATAATTTATTCGGTATAAAAATTTGAATTTTCAATTAAAGCCTCTTGTGTTACACAAAATATTAACTATAAATACCTGGAGATACGAAAGAAACAACTATTAAATAAAATGTGCTTGTTCAGACTATGCACGCAATAATGTTTAATTCTACTCGGACTTGTATGGCGAGGTAATACAATGGACACCAGAAGTTGGAATGCGGGGTGATTATCAGACGAGGATCAGTATAATACGAAAGTGGAGTTACTAAGGAAACTTACGTGAAGATCACATGCAAAATGTCACCGATGAGCCCGTTATGTCTCAAGGAATGCTCCGAAGTTTCGCAAATTGCCCTCAGCAGACACTCGTGACCCTGATATCCGTAGCTGCGCAGAAAGTCAGGGGCGGGAGGGGAGCAAAGTGAAAAATAAAATAAGACCGTCTCTGACCCACTATGACTTCTAGGTCAGCCGCTGTGTACCTATATCTGCCTCCGCATGTAACAGTTTCGTTTATCCAGCCTTTTTTTCTGTACGCGAACGTGAACACGAGGCAACGTAGTTGCAATTAAGAGAGTTGAAATGGTTATCGAAGCCGAAAAAAAAACGAGACTGTTGAACGGGAAGATTGTCTCCTGAGACGAAACAATGGTTGGATGACTTTGATGTATGATAAAAAGAACTTTAACACATTCGCGACCGTCTGAAGTGGATTCACGTCACCTAAAATTCTAATCCTGGTTTTTTTTATTTTATACACTACACGCTTACAACGTTCATATTTCTGCCAGTCACATTTATGTTATTCAATCGCGAATATGGATACGTAAATTCCAGAAATGCGAACGTTCCGTTATCCGACAATTCCCTTAATCGAGTAAGTCCTGTTTCCCCATCAGCGAGGATAATGATGGCTTTACTGTGTGAATATCGGAGTCAAAGGCTCGCTAACCACCGAAGATTCAACGTATCTAACAAAAGCGGCTGCCTAGACTGGATTCATAGAGGTTAATCATCCGTGAAGAATCTCACCTGATGAATTTGTTCTCCAACACCTGATAAACCGTGGACCTGTCCAGGCTTCTTCTCTCCCTTGTCTGTCTGCCCTCCCCCCAGAAATATTCCTCAGATACGTTGGTTGGCAGACTGTAGGAACCTTCGAAAAAGTTCGCTAAAGATATTGATTTGTAAGGGTCTTCCAAAGGTACTGCCAGTGCGAGGAACAGCTGAAAACAAAAATGATAAGCTTGTTAATTTGTAGTTAATTGTTGTTAGAAAAAATTGTACTCATTAGTTGACGACCAGGACAAGCTAATAATCTAGCGTGAATGATCAGAAAAAGAGAAGAGAAAAAAGACTGGCACTCGAGTCTTTTATTTATTACGATTTGTCTAGTTTCTGAACTTTAGTATGGATTGAAGAGATGTAATTATTAAATTCGCACTAAGAATACGATTCTAAAGAAACGAATAGTTTTCCGAGCAAAATCGTTGCTGCTATCTTGGCTATAAACGAGGAAAGCTCGAGTTCGCACTTACACCAAGAGCGCTCTCCTCTGGAAACGTCAAGGCTCTGATGGGACGATAAAGGACCTTCGCAAGCTCCGAATTCGGGGTTCTCGAACGGACAGTGCAGAGTATCAGTTCCAGATTGAACGTCAAAAGCCTATAAAAAAAAAAAAAAGAAAAGTTCGCCTCCCTCCAGAAACAGTAAACCACACACGTCCGCCGTAAAAAGGATTCGATAAAACACCGCTGAGAGCTTCGGACGCACATACGAAATCTCAAGGGTACTCGTCAAAGGTGTAAATGGAATAGCAAAGCTTCTAAGCTTCTAAGATAATTTTAAGATTCTAAGTAACGTTTCTGTCACGGAATACACTGTAAAATGACTAGAACACTGTGGAACACTATGTAGATGTATATCTGTTACAACGTGATTTGAAAAAACGATGGAACGTACAAAATTATTTGGAAATGCCTCGACATGCCTGAAAGCTGGACGAGCCTGGAAACTACAGAACGAAGGACTGATTTGAAACGGTGGTATCCATACTCGAGTACGTCTTTGCTATAGAAACCGGTTTCCCACTCGATGTTTGCGATTCTAGAGTGTCAAGTGATAGATACAGAGGAACCACTTCGGTGTTAAATGTTGGGTGATCGACCAGTTCGGTGGTTAAATGTGAAAATGAAAATAAATATTGGAGAACGTCAATTAGAATAGTTAGGATATTTTATTGAAGACATTTTAAGTTTAACGTAGATATTAGCCAGACGAAAGGTCATTGAGCACTGGAACGAGACTCGAGGTATAATTTTAAATTAATAGTGTCGAGGAGAGTTCATAAAATAATGATGTATTCAAAAATAAAACGGTTGTGAAATAAAATAGAACTCGCTAAGTTTTGTTATCCCTCTTCAAAAAAATAATACACATCGAAATAAGCCACAGACGTTTACCAATTTTCATTCTGAAAGACTATTCATCGACTATAGTGGTAATACTCTACACAAGAACAAGAGTTGAACAAACAATTATGTCAAAATTTTAATTTCACCAATTTTCCCCTAAAATATCAACGTCCGCGCTCTCCTGCGATAGTCCACTACTCACGGGGTGAGTTTCTTCAGGGGGTTGTTCGCGCGTAGCAGTTTATTATCGTGTTCGCGTCGTCAAGCGGACGCGCTTGCTCGTTCGCTGAGAACAGCTCGTTGGGTCGGCGTTTATTGATGTAAACGAGAAAGGGAATTAAAAACGGGAATAATCCTGGCAAAGTGGGCTCATTTACGTATGCATGGTTTAACCGAGGCCCGGCGTTTCGAACCACGACCACTCCTCTATCTCACTCCCCCTACCCTCGCCCCCGTCCGTCCCTCTTTCCGGTTTTTCCTATGCGAGGCAGCGTAGAATCGCTAAAGTTTTTTAATCACCGGCACCTCTCGTCCTCCGTGATATCTGACGCGTAGGATTGTAATTGCATTTCGAAACCATGGCCCTGGAATCCGTGGAAACGTTTTGGCCGATGGGTACTTCGACACCGCGACCGCGGAGAAAATCGAGAATTAAATTCCAACATCCAGTTGAAAGGCGCTAACTAAACTCTTCGACAAACGATGACGATGTATTTTATCGTCTATTATGATACATGTCAGGGGATGAGCAACCGTCTTCCCTGGCTTGAGACGAAAATATTCTTTGATTTTCAAGACAATTTTTTGAGGGAGACTTGGTTTTTTTTGGAAAGTTAACCAGAAAGGTTATTTATATATATACCACACTTCTATTTTTATGTTAATTCTAATTCTTCTAATTCAATACTTCATACATATATATAGATACTACTATGAATTAATTATTATTAACATAAAAATGGAAGTGTGGTTTGGGTAAGAATCAAAAAGAAAATTAGGATATCTATGTACAGAAAAATAAACAAGAAAAATTACGTTATATAATACCCATAGAAAGCGAGCACAAATATTTCCATTCAAAAAAATTGTCCAGAGTCTGATAGACGAATGAACAGAATTTTTTAATTAACTCACAATCTAAATTACCAGGAATAAACTCGAACCTAAATACTGTTCAATCCTGACGCATGGAGCGCACACGCCACACCACGAACGAGACATTCTTGCGTTCCCAAAGAAGGTCGACGATTTTTCCTTCCCAAGAACGAAGTGCCTATTTACCATAGACGCGTCAGTTACTTTTTACGGGTTCAGAACGTCGTCGATGTGGTGTCACTCCTTTCTCTTCTTCCTAAGTCAAGTTTCAGTGTTCACCAACTGTTTCGCTATTTCTGCCACGTCTATGGAGGCGTTTATGATACCCGTCATCCACTAAAATCGTCGTACTGCGACGAACTTCTTCTTTTTACGGACTGCCTCCACTTGTGAGTCGATACGTGTATCGTCGAGGCATTTTGCGCCACTGTGGAGATCTTCTGGTTCTGATGACGTATAATTCGATTCTTTTAAACAAGTTTGCTTTCTATCGAGTTAGCAGAAAATATGTTCTCTCCCCTTTCTATCTAGTTATCTTGCTGGCTTCCGTCTGAATAACTTAGAGAATTTCCCCTGTTTTACATTAAGCGTTATGCAGTGCCTCGAGCATTATATTTAGTCCATGTAGTATGTATATTGCGTGTAACATTCTCGACTACTAGGCTTTCGAGTCTTCGTTAAGGTAGATAATTTTAGGATATTCTATTAATTTTTGAATTTCCAGAAATAGTACACCTTGTATTTGTAACACTTTTTAATATCATTTTTAATTTAAACACGAGTTTTAGTTTTTACCAATGGTTAACATTCGAATTTAATCAAAACGGCAGCACTGTTGCACTGGTTCAATTTTATTTATTAAAAGTTTCCACGGCACTCAAACTTCCCTGTTGATAACTAAAATTGATGTTAACATTGTTATGTCTACACAGAGACATTTTGATAACGAACAGAACGATCAGTTAAAAAAGTGACATGTTACGAGGAGAACACACCGTAGATTCAATTTTAGTAGAATTTTAAAATAACAGTTGAACAGTATATGATACTTAAATTTGAATAATTATTTCTACAATTAAAGCAGTTAATTTTTATCCCCGATTATAGCTCAGTCCACGAAGAGATTAAATGAATTCCAGAACGCTGAATAACAAATGATGGATCAACTGGAAACACAGCCAAGAGGTCCGGATTTTTCTCCATTGAATTCGAAATCATTCCGCGAAATCCCTTTGCTAGAAGTGCGAACGCGTAACGAATCAATCCGTGAACAAAGACCGCCAGCTTCGAATTCACAGAAAAGATTACGCCTTGTAATTATTAAACGGAATGTGTGTCGCTGCGTCCCAAAGTGCAAAAATCGTTTCTATTCTTCGGAATTCCTCGAAAAACTTTTCGAAATCGTGAAAAACTTTTTTTCCAATATAACCTTTGACATCTATCGAACCGAGCATCGTTAACTGCAACGTTAACTGCTTTATCGTAGCATGGATACGAGACAGTAATTTCTAAGCTTCGTGAATTTATATTTAAATTCTCACAAATAAATGTCTTGTTCAATTATATATTTTTAATTATTAATAAATATGTGGTTCTTCCCAGGCACAATTTAAAAAAAAAAAATACAGATTGCATTGATTCAACAAAGCTCCAAATTTAAATATGATTCTTAAAATTGCAAGTATAAAATTCAAACTTTAAAACTAACATTTAAACTAACCATTCAAAAGAAAATATATTACCTCATGTGATCAATATAATTAGAAGCATCGCATTTAAATAAACATAAAATTACCTTCCCTTGCATGGTGCCTCTAATGATCTCTTTCCCTACGTTTCCAAACCTGCCTCGCTTTTTCTTTATTTCACATCCTTGTTATTTCCAGCTTCGAAAGTATGAACTCCGCGATAATTGCTCGTTCAATTTTATGCCGATTTCTGAGCTCTCCATCGTATTCAACCCGTCGAAGTGACGTTGGAAAGAAATTCCGCCTGCATAATCACGCAAAAACTCTCATCAATATCGCCGTCCCCTCCCCCCCCTCCCCCTCTTCGTCACCCTGCACCGCAAGAATAATTGAATTCGACGCTCGTTACGTGTCGATGAATTTCCAGGTGGATTTATTACGACATCAGGTTTCCAGGAGACCCTGCTCGATAACGCCATCCCAAAACGAGGACTCGCGGCTCCCCGTTAATAGCAGCAGAGCTGCTGGGTTTACGATAGAGACGTGACTCCGTCGGCGCTCTACAGATTCGGTCTCCCCCACGCATTTATCCATTTGCTACCCTGAAAAGCTCCGAAATGCTCCGCCTCTTAACGTTCTACCTTTCATATTCGTGTACGTGTATGATTTTCGGAAATTATTGCATGTTACGACAATTTGAACCGAAAGGATTTATCTGTACTCGTGAATAGCGATTCGAGGAGTTCCTTTTTAACAACAAATGGGTGGGTAGAAATGTTTGTAATGTCTAGTGTGTCAAGATGAAGCTTCGAGGGAGGAGAGAAAAAATTGTCACGGTGTGAAATTTATTTTGTATAAGTACTTTGCCTTGTCTTTTTTCTAATTAAATTCTATTTCGTCGTAAGTTAATAACAGCATTACCAAGAAATCTGGCGTCGTAGCGAGAAAATCTCAGACATCAGCTTTATTTCCAGCCATCCAAGTGGCGTCTCCCCTCGACACGATATTCGTGAAACGCTGTGTCTCGCGGAAAACTCCTCCTTCCTGCCGTGGAAAAATGCGGGCGACCCTTGCGCAGAATTTACAAGGGAAGCCTTCGCGCGAAGGGTTGCGTTGCAAAATCGCCAAGTGTGCACAGAGAAAGGGAGGGAAAATTGTCCAAACTTTTTCTCGCCGTTCTCCCTTCCCCGTACACCGTTTCCGGGAATTTCACGGAGAACCGATCGTTCTTCGACAGGTTTTCAGATTTCCTCCGAAATTCTTCGCAGGCGTCAAATAATAGTCGGAGTTTTCGTTTCAAAGAACTTCGCGAGCTTGTATATATAGGAAGTTACTTAATGGAGGGAACTTCGAAGAGAGTTTCTATTCGGGTGCCAGCGCTAGAAATTTAGACAGCGTTCCTGACTAACTCGTTTTACAAACTTTGCCGCTGAGAACGCTGACCCATCGATTTCAGGTTAATTTCCCATTAAATTACGATGATTGTTGTAATATCTTTTGTAAAGTAAGAAGACTCTACTTTATGTCACGAAAGATGATTCATTTGGATAAGACTTGGATAAGACTCAAGCCTTGTATTTTTTACTATATTTCCTATAACATTTTTCAATGCAAATTTTACTAATTACAGTTCAAACTGTATACATTCATGTATCGAAATTTGAAATTTCCGCATGATCCAATTTCAATGTAAAAGATTCCCAAATATTAAAATTTTGAGTCTGTGTTTCTGGGGACCGAAGTAATTAATGTAGCAATGAATTTTCAACTTTTTCGTTCTTTGCTCTCGTACTGGAAGCCTTTGCTTCATTCGAAAGGACAGTAAAAAATGTCGAGTTCAACATATCGTTCGACTTTCGTCCTGTTTCACGGTAGGTACGAAGTTCCTGGTGGTCTGTAATTTCCATCCAGCGAGGACTATTCTAATTTTAATGATAGAGACGCGTAGATCCCGGGGCACATCCTCGAGGATAGT